TCAACTTTCGAAGGATTTGCTAATATATATATATATATATATATATAAAGATACAAATCAATTTTGTGGTTTGCTCAATGACCTACATCCATAGCAAGACATCGAAAATACTTTATTATGCAATTTTATATTGTTACATAACTATAAAGGGAGAACAATACAACTTACAATTCTCCCTCCCATTTCTCTCTTTGGTGATAATAAAAATTTCTCAACTAACAAATAAAAATAGAACATGTTTACATTCTTCCTCTTTTTTCATATTTGCTAAAAATCGAATGGCAGATCAATTTCTTTTGATCCCACATTTGAACAATATATTAAAAGTAGGCATAAGAACCCATAAATCCATGCTCAGTTCGCATTTGAACAATATGGAAAATCCTTAAAGCAGGCATAAGAACACATAAAGCAGGCATTTGAACCCATATAGCAGGCCTTAGAACCCATAAAGCAGGCATTTGAACAAAAAACGTCCTTCCGAAGCGGGCAACGGGATTTCAATTCCGATGACCTACAGCTTCTTACGGGCAAACCCCACACCAAAAATAGTGCCGACATAATAATATGAAAAAAAAAACCTTGCATATGCATATGAACCCTAAACCAAAAACAGGTAACTCCCCAATGATATAACCATTGCCTCATATAAAAACAAACATTGCATTTTCTTGTATAAGCATATGCATATGAACCCTAAACTCTATAACCATTGCCATTCTTAACATAAAACAAAAGATAAAAATATGGAATCCTCTCAATGATGAGTTAGATATATGTTTGAAACATTAGAATTACACGCTAGTATGCTTTCATAGATGAATAAACAATTTCGTAATGCATTTTCATGTACCAAGCCATAATCTTCATTGTATAACCAAATCAACAATTGGTTATTTCAAATTACTGCATAACAAAAATTCCTGCAAATTTTCCACCACACAAACAACAGCTAAACAATTATATAACTTCACCAATTTTCTTAGAACCAGAGCTGATACCTCCCATCAAACAAACAGAGCCAAAACCAGAAAAAAAATGTCACAATATCATGCCACAAAACAGATGCCCAAAACCAGAGCCACTACCTCCCATCAAACAACGAATGCAACATATCTCAATTGGCCTATATCATAAAAACTTTCATGGACTCATATTTTAGACACAAAATAAAAAAAAAATGGTTCTTGTATCTACACATCTCAGAAAAAGGATCAATGAAAAGGAAGGTTTCTAGGATCGCAGCTAGCAACCCAAATCCAACAACCAGTTAAAATGCGAAAATATCAGGGCATAGAAATTGAAACATATCTCAACAGGCATAAAACTCAAAAACCAGAGAAAATGCCAAAAGCTACAGGATCCTCAAAAAAACTCATGTCATAGATCTAAACTGGGCATAGATCTAAACTGGGCGATCTAAACTGGGCAATACCTAAAAACCCTTAATGTCATCATATTTCCCAAAAAAAAAAAATTATTTCCTGCATCAACACTGCTCAGAAAGAAGATTAGAGTAAAGAAAGCATTCCGAGTCTCGCAGCTAGGGTAATCGAAAGGATACCTGATGATCAGGAAAGAAAATTTGGGGCGATGAACCAGAAAGGAAACCAGCGAGGGAGGAGGCAAGGGAGATCGAGGGCACCTCTGGAATTCCTAGGGCAACGTGGATGGCTAATGCAGGATGTGGGGCTCGGACAGCGTCGAACGACATAAAGGAATTAACTAACACAGACGCAGTGAGGCAAGCTAATGCCGGTGCGAACGCAATTAATAAACAGAGAGGCGGCATTTTCAAAACACCGACGCTCCTAATAAGCTTCCCCAAATGAAGCCTTAGTTACAAAAAGGTTTCTCGCTTATATAATTTGGTTATTTAGTCTAGAGCATTTATTAGGTTGTTTAGGAGCTCTTTTGAAAAAATATGTTCAATCTCGATATATCCTGTCAATCACACCCAAAGAATAGAGTGTAACATAGTAAGAAGAAACAGAGAGAGAACAAAAAAGAGAGAGAAAGAGAGAGCAAAGTAAATGTCAAAGTTTGGATAGGGTGAATTAGTAATCTTTAATTGCAGAAATGATCGTCTATTTATAGATTTTGGGGGTACCTAGTGTACAATAACATGTATGCCCCTATTTTAATTAAGGTGTTACAACTTATTATGAGATATTTTCATATTCATAACCGATTTTGGCACCTTTTCATATTCATAACTGATTTTGGCATATTTTTGTATTCGTAATCGCTTGATTAGTGCATTTGATGACCCGTCGATCATATCGGCTGGAAGGTCATCCGTTAACTCTTTTAAGGGAAAATTCTGAAAAGAGGCATTCTTGTTGTCTGAATAGACTGGAACATTATGTAGAGGATGTACCACCTAATCTGACAGGCAACCATCCTTGGACAAAGAGCCTTCTCAGGGGTTAGAGAGGTGTTCTGTGAGAGGCCCTTTGGCCATTTTGTGAGGAGCTCCATAATCGGCTAAGAGAGTTGGTCATGAATTACTGCCTCACACACTGGGCTCCTTTCATCTCTTCATTCAGTCGTCCTTCCGTTCGGTCGGCTCAGAATCTGACCGAAGGAAACAACACTTACTATCCTGATGTTGTGTCCTCTAGTGTTTATCAATGGGACACATCAAATTTACTTAAGATTCATGTAGGCCATTTTTATGTACAATTTGGTTCCTTGATTCTCTCATTTCTTTAAAATGACACTTGCAATAAGAATAAGAGAATTAAATGTAAAAATATATTTATTTATTGCATATTAACTACATTTAATAATTGAACTTCCTAGAACTTTTTGTTTGTTATCTCTATAAATAGGACATGACTAGCATTTCCCTTTCTCTTTTTTCTCAGTACCCTGCCTTTCAGTCAGTTACCAGTAGGAGATATATTTATGGTGTGGTAAGAAGGTTTCTACATATGTGGTAAATGAGGTGGTAATGATGAAAGCCTTTTGAATTTCTGCTGAAAAATCCCACCCATCATTAGTTTTCGAGGAGAAGAGTAAACTGAGGGGAGCCGACCAACGATAAACAAGAAGCTGAATGGCGGGGGATGGCTAGTAATAGTAATAACACTAGAGAGAGATATATTGATCGATCGACATAAAGTGATTGGAAAGAGGGAGAGGATCAGAAAGAGAGAAATGTTATAAACAAATGACCCATAAGAAGCAGAGGGTAGAGGTGCAAGAGAAATTGGTTAAGTCATCAGACTCAAGCCAACTCTTTTATCGAGAGATGGGCATCAGGGAGGGTGTGAGCACTGTTGGTACAATTTTCATTACTCCTACACCAATTTGGGAAGCATCAACCCAATATATTATTCAAGTCACTAAAGCCTAAGTTCCACAACACTAAGAACAAGATTCTTTTCTATTGGTTAGCTGAACAGTCAGGTGGGCATTAAGTTATTTCTCAGCAAGAACCTTTCATCTTTCAAATCATCCTAATTGGATCAAATCATTGGTATGAGGAAACCATATCCTCTTTGATTGTCATTATTTTATTTGACATTTGATTATTTATGCAGATGAGAATGTTTAGATCATCGACTCGTCCATAAAGGGAGCCAACCATTTTCCTATATTAGAGGCAGCCACGGGACCATCAGCTCCAGTCCAACACGGAGGAGAACATGTTTTCAACCATTAACTCTAGGGCTAATGGTAGACCTCCATTCACCCAAATTGTGTTCTGACCTTCGATGCGGACGAAACACTATCTTAGTACTGGGATTCAGGTCAATTCTGTCATGTGACCAATCATTTAATCTCGGAGTTTCTGAATTTGTTGTTGAACAAATTATCTCACAGACTCTATGTTTGAGATTTCTCCCAATTGAGTTCCTTCTCCGTGACATGCTCTTCTTCTTATTGATGACACGATTTCATACTCACCGCACTTTTTAGGATGTTGAATCCAAATATATTTTGTGGAACAAACCTAAGGTATAGAGTGTTGAACCGATGCAAAGAATATGTGGAAGGAAATTGATAGAAAATAAAAACATAATAACACAAGTTTTGAGAGAGTAAATTCAATAATCTCTTATTGAGGAGATGACCCCCTATTTATAAGTCTTAGGGGTATTTAATATGAAATTACATGTTTGTCCTTATTATAATAAGGTTATTACAAGTTATTATGATACATTCTCACATGTGTAACTAACTTCTGTGCCCTTTCATAACCATAACTGACATAATATTGTTTTATATTTTTAATTGCTTGAAGAGGGGCATTTAATGACCGTTGATCATGTCATTTGGTCGACCGACATAATTTTGGTCGATTGAGAGATCAAAGGTTGACTCTTTCAACAGAATCCTGAGTAGAGGCCCTCTTGTCTCAAGGGTGAATATAGACCGTCAGCCAAAGAATATTTCATTATAATCTGACATGTAGCTCTCTTAGGACAAGGGCTCAGAGGATTAGAAGATGTATTCTATAGGGTGCCTTTGTTTATAATTGTGAAGAATCTTGTAATCGGCTGAATAAGCTGGTCATGAACGACGGTCCCATAGGTCCGGTGCCTTCTATTTGTTTCGTTGTGCTTTCGTTGGTCATTTCTTAGTTCCGACTAAAAGAAATGACTCATGACGTTTCCGTTATTTAACAATCCTAATACATTGTCCTCTAATTTTCATAAGCTAGGCCCATTGAATTTTTACTAAATTTGTGTGATTATATTATATATATAGAGAGAGGTGCATATATACGCCCACACAGTCACCAGTGAGCGGAAATAATTCTCTCAGCAGAACTTATTTTAGGCTCTAAACGCGATCGTTTACTGTAGTATAGCCAATTGTAATAACAGAATCCGATATTTAAAAATGCCTTAAAAATTAACTCTTGAGAAAACTTTGGAATTCCGCGGGTTTTTACCCGGTCAATGAACCAAGCAGACTATGACTTCCTCTTTTCTCCTCCTATAAATTGCATTCGCACCCACTGCCCAAACAGACAGCTGCTTCTTTTCCCACCACAGCCAGAGAACCCTCGCCGCTGGCAAAAATGGAGATGAGCAGCCATCAAGTCGATTCGCTCACCTCTGCTGCTAGTGGTCTCATCATTTCAGGCTTCCGCGGCGTTAAAAGATCAAGCTTTCTCCGTGAATCCGCGCTCCGCATGTTCCTGCACTTCCTTCAATCAATTTTCCTCTGGTTTCTTATTCTTCTTCCTCTCCGCTGGGTGCGTAGCTCTTTATTGGCTGTTCAGGCTTGGTCTTTGCTTAGGCGAAGGGACGGGGAGTTTAAAAAAGGAGAGAGGTGGTCGGCGGTGGAGGAAGAAGATGCAAAGCGGAGGAGAGCGTTGGCTGAGAGAGTGGAGATGGGGTTTTCTTCGGAAGGGAAATGGGGGAAAGGAGAGAACGGAAGGTTACAATGTGAAAGTTTTGTGCTTTATGGAACGATGAGGAATGAACTCTTCTGTCGCTCGTGGTTGCCTGCGGATGGAAAAATGAAGTGAGCTTTCGATCGTTATTTCTTTTTTCTTGATAAGTTTGTTCTTCAGATTGTTTTGATTTGTAGTTCTTAGGTATTTGGATTTACCTATGAAATGCTGAGTTTTCTATTTATTGGAGTAAGACTGATAATACGATTTCTTCTAGTCCTGTTTTCTATTGATTTGTAGTTCTTAGGTTTGTGTTTCTTGTTATTGTTCCCTGTGTTCCTGAAATTAGGACTTCATATACATATAGAATGCAAATTATAGTGGTTTCAGTTACTTTGTTCTGTTCTATCACTATCATGCTTTCTTAGAAGTATCAGTAACATGTACTGTTTTTTTTTCTTTTATCTGCAGGGCTATTTTGGTGATCATGCATGGTCTTAATGAGCACAGGTTAGAAAAAAAGAAATCTTTTTGGCCTTTCAGTCCCTTGTTTCACATTTACTGTTTGTCTTTTCAGTTCTACGAATGTTAGCATTTTAAAGTATGTGGTGAAATTAGTGATATATCCCCAACTTTCCCAACTATTGATCTGATGTTTGTTGGCTTAGGGGCCTAGTTTTAAAATTAATCACATGCAAAGATTTTTGACAATTGACTTCATGGATATTGCCAATTAGTTAATCTATTCCTGTAATTAATGTAGGCCTGATTACTTCATCAATCAGACTTTCTCGCTTTGCTTTGTCACGTAATGAAGGAATATATTTATAGGCTTAAGTAGTAATTGGAGTTACCATGAAAAGAACTACTATTATCAACAGCTTCTTTTATTGACAAAGCTTAACTTCTTACAAATTGATTATTTTTGTTTTTCCAGTGGAAGATATGTGCATTTTGCATCACAATTGACAGCATCCAACTTTGGAGTATATGCAATGGACTGGATAGGTTCGTTGCTTCACATTCTACAAGAATTTCTATTTTAAAAAACATCGTCCTTAGCCTTCTTACCTCCATCTAACCAAGCCGTTCCTTCTAAACTTTGGGTATTGTAAGTTTATTGATTGTACAATGGAATTTTCACATGTACTTTATATATTACTGTTTGTACTAGCAGTATTATGTAAACTGCTGTTGCAAAAAAAAGAAAAAAGAAAAAAAAAGGAAAAAATAAATAGTCAATCAACACATCATGGAAACTTTTTGAGCTATTTGTATTTAATGGTTATATAAAAAGCTAGAGACTGCTTATACATGAATATTATTTGCTTAATATGATTCATCAACCTCCTAAGATTTCTTTATTTGTTTTTGTATAATTGCTGAAATATTATTCAATTACTGTTGTGCTGTGGCTTTCATTTAGGTGTGGTAACTTACTTACTAGCCACTTATGTGCTTGCTTGCTTGATGTCCCCCACTTGTGCTCCTTGCTATGAATGATTTATTATGTTGGTTTGATAATTTGGACCTGAATTATGAATTTATTTATTTATTTTGTGATCATTGCAGGTCACGGCGGCAGTGATGGGTTGCATGGTTTTGTACCTTCGTTAGACTGGGTAGTTGCTGACACTGTAAGTTGTATAATTCATAATCATTCTAACATTCGTCAGAGTGTGCAATTCCTTCTCGATATAATTTTTATGTATATATTTATACAGGAAATATTCCTGGAAAAGATCAGGTCAGAAAATCCTGGTGTTCCTTGTTTTCTTTTTGGTCACTCAACAGGCGGTGCAGTGGTTTTGAAGGTAATCTCATCCAAATATGATCTATTTATCTTCCATTTTGTTATTTTGTGCTTATTTTTGTTTGATTTTCAATTCAGGCAGCTTTATTTTCTCACATGGAATCAATGTTGGAAGGAATTATACTAACATCACCTGCATTGCGAGTTAAACCACCACATGCATTTCTTCTGGTAATTTGCCGCTCTCGCTCAGACACATGATGTGCAATTCTCTGATGTTTGCTATAGTTTTCAATCATCTTAGATAAGGATTTATTTCATATTCTGATTTATTCCATTACTATGTAGGCTGTGGCTCCACTGTTGTCTCTTGTTCTTCCAAAGTATCAACTTAGGGAGGGGAATGAGGTTGACATTCCTGTTTCAAGAGATCTTTCCGCAATGCAGGCCAAATACTCAGACCCACTTGTCTACACTGGTCCCATACGGGTTCGAACCGGCTACGAAATCTTGCGCATATCATCCTACCTGATGCAAAATCTCAGATCAGTCACGATTCCTTTCCTGGTTCTCCATGGAACTGCGGATAAGGTAACTGATCCTTTGGCTTCTAAAGATTTATATAATGAGGCTGCATCGAAGCACAAGAGCATCAAGCTTTATGATGGATTTTTACATGACCTTTTATTTGAGCTGGAGCGAGATGAGATTGGTGCACACATAATTAACTGGATGGAGGGCAGACTGCAGCAGCAAAGATCCTGAAGGGGATTGTCTGTAGGTACAACGCTTTAGTGCAGGAAGATTTCTTACTTTTTAACCAATTTTTTGAATGGATTTGTACATCTGTAAAAAATTCATAGTTGGATAGGAATGAGATCCTTTGGAAGCTTGGGTTGTTCAAGATTCTATATTAATTTTATCAGAATTGTATCAGAATTGTTATCAGTATTACTTTTTTTTTTTATTTTCGACATCACCATATAATATTTGAAATTCAGATTGGAAGTTGTAAATATATGATTTGAAAGTAATGAAGATATCGATTTGATCTACCTCTTCTTGTTGTTGATTAATGTCTGGGAGTTGAGTCTGTTTTTTAAGGAGAAGATTTTCTGTTGAAAAATTGCTTCAACTCCCTAAGGGTGCTGGGGGATTCCATCAATACTGTGGTATCCTGTGAAAAAAATTGATCTAAGGCAAGTTTTCTTTGTTAATGATAACTCCAAATTCATTGGATTTATTGTAAGATCAACAAAATATAACTTCTAATTTTTTTTTTTCATATATTACACTTATTTGAAAATTATTTTGATTTATATTTACTAAAGACAGCTTGCTCCATAAAATTTTCAATTATCCGGTGTTCATCTATGTCTAATTTTAGTTACAAGTTGAGAGCATTGCTTAAGAAGCCTTGATTAGTAATTAAAGGGAAAATTACATACGTACTACACAATGCTTATGTATTTACATTTTTCTCATCTAAACTTTCATATTTGCATATATTGCACTTTGATTCCTTAAACCTACGCATGTAAATGTGTACTTCACTTTTAAAAAGTGATAATAATGCTATTTTTGATGTGATATTAGAGATTTGACTTTGTTGGATCCCGGATTGTTTTGTGAACACGCATCGAGTGTTAGAGTCGAGTGAATGAGAGAATAAATTGAACCAAGAGTTATTGTGGAGAGAATCGGGGGAGTCCAAATGACCTCTCTCCCCTTGGTTTTCCTTTTAGCTCTTATTCATAAGAACATATTTGTTTGCCACACTTTTTGGAGAACCTCTTCCCCTCTCTATAGGAACCTAACATTTAGCCTTAGGGTTTCCTAGTGATCTTCTTAGATGACTAGAGTTAGAACTCACCCATATAGGAGTTCTAACCAATCCTACACTCACTGAAGGTTCCCTGAGGTTAAGCCCAAATTCGCAACCCTTGGTTGAGATGATTGAGGGTCTAGCCCAGTAGAGGCCCAAGTTGACTTCCTATAGGTGGAGGATGCCCTAGGTTACCCATGGAGCTCAAAATCCTAGGAATTTCCCTAATGACCCATTGAATACCCTTGGGATCTCATTGACCTAAGAAAAGCCCATCAGATAAGAGGCTAGACTTAGGCTAATGAGGGGTTCTTACCACATTACCCTAAGGCACTGGAAATCCCATGAAACGAAAATTCAAACCAAAAGGGGGAGGGGGGATTCACCAAAGTCAATCCTTGGTCTCATCTAAAGCTCTCCCAACACTAATTAACCATAAAATTGAGATGAATCCTAAACACATCAACTCATCTCTAAGAAGTTAGAATCACCAAGTGCACTAAAATTCAATTGGGCCCAAGTCAACCTAAGTCAATTATTGAACAATTGATCTTATCATAATAAACACTAACTCGATTCAAGGTGTTAAGACCTAAACCACTTAGGAATTAAAATTGCATTAGGAAGGCAACCATCATTATTAACTTAATTTTTTAATTAGGCTAATTATAAAGGTCTATTGAATCTAATATTTTGGGCTAAACCTAAAGAAACTTAGGCTAATTCTAATCATAAAAGCCAAAGATATCATGAAGGAGTCTGTGGCCCATGGCCCATTCCACATGGGTCAATCACAACCCATCATGACACACACAACCCACCATGCACACACAACCCATCAAGACACTACAACTTAAATAAAAATTAATTAAAAGAAAATTAGGCATAAAACAAGCACAAAAGGACAAACATGCACTCTTCACCAAGGGGGACTACCACATGGCACCTAGGTCCAACCCACCCAAATCATTTCATGGGTGGGTCAAACTACACCATTATTGAGCCCAACCACCCCACCAAAAGTTTCTCTAGCCCGCTAATGACTTGGCCATGTTTCCTCTACCACCATTGGAGCTCACCTTGGTCAAGTCATCAAAAATAGGAAAAGCTCTTGTACTATTGCCCAAGCTATTAAGGTTGTGCGCCGCCCCCCAAACCCCGCCCTCTCCCCATAAAACAAGCACAAAAGGACAAACATGTACTCTTCACCAAGGGGGACTACCACATGGCACCTAGGTCCAACCCACCCATGAACCCAAATCATTTCATGGGTGGGTCAAACTACACCATTATTGAGCCCAACCACCCCACCAAAAGCTTCTCCAGCCCACTAAGGACTTGGCCATGCTTCCTCTACCACCATTGGAGCTCACCTTGGTCAAGACATCAAAAACAAGAAAAGCTCTTGTACAACTGCCCAAGCTCTTGAGGTGCCACCAGAGTCTGAACTCCCTAGCCCCTTGCTGCTAACACAAAAAACACTTCCACTAACCAGAGCAGCTCATCCCCACCATCTTCAAGCCATCTCCACCACCACATAGCCCTAATTTCACCATTTAAATTAATAGTGTTTTATGGTATTGACATCAACTTCATCAAAATCTCAATCTAACTCTTCCATTAGCTTCACAAGACCCTAAAACCTTACCCCCAATCAAAATTCGATCTTCCCGCACTCCCTAACCTACCTCAGCACCAACCCGAGCCACCATTTCGTCTAACTCTTAGCTAGGACCAATTTCAAATCAAATTGAAGCAAGGGGAAGCTTCGTGGTATCAAGGGAATCGTCTCTGTCAAGTACAATGACTCCCGATTTAGTCTTTTATGAAGAAAAAGAACAATTTATAACCTCTTGATCTTATAAATAGATTCCTCTTACATAGATGAAGCTATATGATCAAATCTCATGTAATTTGGTTGAGTATAGAACGAGAACTTAGGTTTTGATTGAGGACGATTCGCGGTCTTCTATCCCATGGGGATGATGAATGGATGCCATTCATTTCCGTATATTCGGAATGGTCGGCGAAGATCAACCTCAACAGCGAAACCATGAGGAGGAGCGCAACAGATCAATACAACCTCAGTGCTTGCGTGTAAAGCGTCGCAAATATGAAGATGTTGTGCGAGAGTTCGATGCGTATGAGGCTGAGGCGGCGCCGCGTGATTTAAGTGAAGAAATTTGGATTTTCAAAAGTAATTAAATCCAAAAAAATGCATTCCAATTTAAAAAATTCATAATTTTGCAAAAAAAAATCATAAAAATAAAAAATTACCTCTGAACCCAATGAACAAAGGAGAAAATAATAAAAATAAAGATAAAGTAATTAATTTATATTTACTTTTTAATAATTAATTGACTCTGAAGATATTTTAATTATATATATATATAATAATTAATTAAATTTAATTTTTAATTAATTAAATACCTCTCAAGATACTTTTATTATAAAAAAATAAATATAAAACATAAAAATATGTAATTTTCAGAGATTCTTTCCTTTGTCATTAGGAATTCCTCAGATATTTCCAAAGACATATGTCCTCCCGAACATCAAAGTGTCTAATTTCCTACCAAAATTATAATTATTTCAAAAAAAAATATTAAAAAAAAATTACAAATCATAAAAATATAAATCATAATGGAAATTAAAAAGAAGATTTATGGCAGTAATCCTAAGCATTAAAATGTCTACTTTCACCTCTATAAATTTTAAAATGAAATTAGATTTTTAGGGGTAAATGTGTAAAATTGAATTTTTCATTTTACTCAAACTATCTTCTAAACCTAAGTTAAACATAAAAATTAACTTAGAAGTCCTTGGGATCACTTCCTAATGAAGACATCAAAAAGTTAACCTTTTCATTATGGAATGTCCCTAATGAACCAACTTTAAATTTGACCTAGGTCTAACGCAGACTAAACCTAACCTAACTCTGGATAACCCAACCTAAATCAAATCAATTTTGGGTTATCCCAACCTGACCCAACTTAAACTCAAATGTCCTAAACTAAGGAGTGTTTAACTTCTCATAAGAGAATAAAAGTACAATCAACGCACTTTGAAGATGATATGGGCTGCAATGCAAAATAAGCATAGAACACATAACATAAAGCACACTCTAAAAATCATTAAAACTTAAACTTTAAACATAAATTGCAACCTGGTTTGAGAAGAGACTTCGGAGAAGGCAAGCTGTGGCTGCTAACGAGATGCCTTCTGGTCTTCCATGACTAGTCAAATCACAAACCCGATGACCCCGGGAGAACGGAACCACGAGATCTTGACCAATTCATTCCAAAGAAAAAAATTGAAATAAAATTTATAAAAAATTAATGAACTAATAAGTCTTAAGTAACCTAAAATTTTCAGCCACCTACAATCCCAAAAAAGACATTAAAACTTAAATGAAACTTTAACGAATAAAGATCTTTGAGCACAACTTTAACGCTGCTACCTGTATCAACAAAGATCTTTTGGAAGATACAACCCATGGTTGCTGACAGGTAATTTTCGATTTGAGTTGGCTTGTCCGCCTCTCAGAACTAAGTTAAATAGGGAAACTGACAACCTCGGGATGATGGAAAAACATGGGCATCTTGACCGGGTTGTCCTAAATAAATAAAAAAAAAGCAATGACTAACTCATCAAACTAAACACACTTATGCTAACTCTGTTTTGCAGAGATGACATATAAAATGCCACCTTAGATTAGCTTTACATACCCTTCACTCAAATCTTATGTATTTATATCTCTAGCACTTAAACTTCTATTCTTATATATATGCCATTTTAAAGGTATAAAGAAAAGTGTGGTTCGGAAGTGATATTAAAATCTTTGAATGATATATATATATAAATATGGCTGTTTAAGTATCAGATTTACAATACATGAGAATTGCATGGTGTGTAGGTAATGTCCTTTTTTTTTTCTTCTGTCACCAAAGCAACGGATGAATAATTATGTACCTGATTATTGGTATCCATGTAGGTAATGTCCTTTTTTTTTTCTTCTGTCACCAATTCAACTGATGAATAAT